TTTGAGCTTCTTTTGGATGTCACTACTATATTTACCTCATTCATTTCTCCCCTATATGGATATGTCATTAGTTATGCCATGATATCCGGGGCAAAGCCCCGGATGACTTCTCTCTAAGTGAAGGTTGTGTTCTATCATGACGCTCAAAGTGAAGGCCACCAGAGTACGTGGCTCTATGTATCGAAGGTAGGCGCTCACTGTTAGCATTAGCCAGTTCAAAAGTTCACTCATCTGCCCCTTCTCTGTTTGTTATTCTTTATTCCAATAAATCTTTCCGTCTTCAGGAAACGAAGACATCGAACACACAACATATGGCAAAGCTGCAGTAGTGTCCTTATGCCATTTTAAAGGCAGCGTCCAGGCAGATCTGGACCCATGTGGATTTTACGTGGAAAGTACTTTTGAGGCCCTACTAAGTCACTGCTCGAGCGGCAGCGCAGGTAGTGCTCTAACGATTGAGATATTCTCCTCGAAACTGGACCCCGCGATCGTATTCGCATGGATTCATGGCAGTTTCGCGCTAGGACACACGCTTTGCGCCATGAATCCATGCGAAATACGATTGTGGAGTCCAGTCTCAAGGGGAATATCTCAGCCGTTAGAGCACCATCTGAGCTGCCGGCTGGGCAATGGCTTAGTTAGGGCCCCAAAATTACTATTCACGTGAGATCCCCATGTGTCCAGACCTGCCGCCTAGCAAATTTGGACCTATGGGGATTTTGCATGGAAAGTACTTTTAAGTCTAACTAAGGCATCAAGCGGCAGCGCAGGTAGTAATCTAACGGCTGAGATATTCCCCTCGAAACTGGACCCCTCGATCGTATTCGCATGGTTCATGGCAGTTTCGCGCCAAGATCCACGCTCTGCGCCATGAATCTATGCGAAATACGATCGCGGGGTCCAGTTTCGAGGGGAATATCTCAGCCGTTAAAGCACTACCTGAGCTGCCGGTTGGCAGGGCTTAGTTAGGGCCCCAAAATTACTATCCACGTGAGATCCCCATGTGCCCGGACGAGCCTGGACGCTGCCTTCATGTAAATTGACTCCGAAAGTTGAAAACGCCAATTCAACAAAGTTAAAGAAATGGATAGGAATAGATTGATGGCGCTTACTTACTTTCAAGATCAGCCTCTCCTACTTGTTTTGGTGGTATCGTGAGCGAGATGGTAACTCGTATCGTCATACGTGAAGGTCACGTTGTTATGCAGGTTGCTCAATTTCCAAATCTAGGTAAACGACCATCACATGACCTAGTAACAATATTACAGCTTGCAGCGTAAAAAACCACCAAAATTACATTGAGTCCATTCCATCACTTTTGAAGTGACTGTCCATCCGATTCTAGCCGCACTTATACACTTTTTGCTAAAGGTAACAGTCCGAGCCGGAAAGGGTTCCATAGGTAATGAACGACAGGAAAGTCAAAGTTTTTTTACAAGTGCGAATTCCACAACTCCTGAGGTATTCACTTAGGAATTCCTGGCGAAGGTGACTTGTTATCAAGTTCAAGGCAGCGTCCCGCCAAATGATGGGTACTAGGATTTTATAGTGCTACAATGGCACCACCCCCTACCGCTCCCCCTCCCCCGCCCCCACCCAATTAATCTGTCAGTGAAGTCGGGGCGAAAAGGCGTGTTTGGAAAGCCTAAAATCCGCTTTGAACCCTGCTCACTCACACGTAATTTGCAACAAACGCTGACAGGAATAGCTTCGAAAAAGCTTATTTTTGCCATTTTTAAACGCTGCAAAGCCTGGATATGGCCTCAGCATGGCGAGAAGATTCCGAAAAGAGGAACCGGAGAGCGAACTCTTGCCAAAACACTGCCTTTGAAGAAATTGTCCTGGCAAGGATTTGACTTTGAGTTTTTGTGTTTACCTGAGCCTATTCGCTATGCTAAATCCGAAAATCACACTGGAATGCGTGACGGCGAAAAAGGACTATAATGCAGGAGGGTAAAGTAGGCTGGCGGAGTCTTTGAAGGCAGCGTCCAGGCAGAATCTCGACTTCTCTTTTTTGCCTTATCCAAGCCTCTTCATGACGCTTATTCCAACTATGGCGGTCGAAAGGCGTGAATTCCTCAAAAAACCCCATTTTTGAGACAATTTTGTGAGAAATGGACGATTGCTCCCAATGCTATCTTCGTCTAAAGCATTAGCAGTTACACTATGTGTTCCATCCTGTTTGCCTGAAAACACGTCAAGTCCTGAGGAAAGTTCGTCCAAAAAGGCGGGTCGTTCGAGATAATGGGCGTGTTTTTTACGTGGCAAACACAAACACTAGTGTCTACCTGTTATGCTTGCTTTAGACAAAGATAACATTGGGAGCACTCGTCCAGGCTTCTCAAAAAATTGTCTCAAAAATGGGGTTTTCTGAGGAATCCACGCATTTCGACTGCCTTACTTGGAATCAGCGTCATGAAGAGGCTTGAATAAGGCAAAAAAAGAGAAGTCGAGATTCTGCTTGGACGCTGCCTTTAACTCTATGAAATCATCCTCCCAAGTTCTACCGCGATCTTCTCGGTTACAATTTCAAGTCATTAGTACTTGGCCGGTGGCGATATTAGGGCGCTAGCGGAAGCGAAAAAATTGCTTCTGAAGCTGGGATTGGACTTCAGAGTGGAAGGCTCCGCCCATCTGGTGGCAAATTAGGTGGGCGAAGCCCTCCGCTTCCCTCCTGCGTTAGAGCCCTTTCTCGCCGTTTTCGCGCTCCCCATATGGATTTTCGCATTCATAGCGAAAATCCACATGGGGAGCGCGAAAACGCATAACGAATAGGCCCAGGTGAGCAAATTTCAAAATCACTTCTTGCCCGGACACTGCCTTCAAGCGAGATGCCGAAATCTGCGATGATTTTGCAAAGCTACACCTAAGACTTTCTGGCCGTTTTCGAATACCTTAATATTGCAGAAAGGTCTGGCAAGATAGAGCGAAAGCTCACTTTTATACTCTAGACATAAGCCATTTGAGCCAAGCTTTCCCCATTTATATGAAAGATATGCCCTTGACAAATGCAACGCGCCCCATGTCTTTTCCCAGATTCGTTTCCCAGATTATATGCTCACCTGTTAACTAGAATGCTATAGAATTTGCAAAGAAGATACGAAGTTGGCGTAAGTACATGAACTACAAGTAAAAGTTATTTGTATGTGTCTCAGACTGAGGTCACGAAAACGAAAGATTTTGGGTGCAATGAGGACCAAAGGATGCACAATGTCCTAAAGTGCACTTAAACTAAAATTTCCTTCCAAACAGTTCTTACTTCCTCGAATACTTGTACAAACAGCAGAGCACACAGACTCCTGCAAATTTATTGGCACCTCCGTCCGCTACTGTAGCAAGCATGTTGACTACATCGCATCAAACCATAGGCCCTCCAGAGGGCCTTCTCAAAGATTCTGTGAACTGCGACTTGTCGGCAATCTCGGGAGGGGGGGGGGGGGGAGGGAGGGAGGAATCTAGAAATTCTCCTTCCAGCTGTTCAACGGCATCATTCTTGCGCTCAGCGCATGTCACAATCTGTGGGTTTGGAATTTCGATAGCAACAGAATCTACATCTATAAAAAACATAGAAATAGAGGTCCTTACAGTGCATTGAGATGATAGACAAGTTGCAAATCAAACTGCTCCCCTACGTCCCGCCTAAACGCTTCATAGAACGTGTTAACGTTGTAAGAGTAAGTGCGTCCCCCTGGTTTTTCTTATCATTCCTTCGCATCGGGTAGAGGAACGAACACCTCAATTAGGCAGCGCCTCCGCGGGCTGCTGGTCCTTTCGTCCTACTGTTGGGCATCGTTCCAGGACCACTAGTCCGCGGAAGCGGTGCCTAATGGGTGGAAGAACGAACGCCTCGATTTGGCACCGCCTCTGCGGACTACTGGTCCCAACACGATGTACAACATTAGGACGAAAGGACCAGCAGCCCGCAGAAGCGGCGCCTAATTGAGGCGTTCGTACCTCTACCCGTGCCTAATTGAGGTGCCCGTTCCTCCACCCCTTCGCATCTAGACATAAAGATCAGGGTCACACTTATTGTACTCTTGACTGATGCTTCGTCTCTTCAGCCATTACATTTCCGACTCTTGCAAAACACTCTTGCAAACAAAATCAACAAACCATATCTTTGCAGAAGCAAAACTTGCGTACGATTAATCATCCTACGTTGATGCATGGTTGCGTTCAGCGATGTGAGCAGCTCTTCCCAAAAGTTTGGCCAGGAACGCTGTATACCACGTTCATCGGTCGCGCCTATTGTATACGCCGCCGGACCACTCCTGCTGGGAACGCGGCCAAGTGGTGGGGTGTATAAGGCTGCGTATGAGAGCGCTCTTTGCCTGACCTTTGTATTCATTGACCGTTCAACATATCCTGCTTGGCCTCATTTTTAGTAGCTCCCTTCTATTTGAGCGGTTGAGCTCTGGGAGGTTTTTATGAGTAGCGCGTGCAGTCCACAAACAACGGAGTACGAAGCTGTGGTCGCGCCGTTTCATCTTCCATCTGCTTCTAGCGACAGACCCTAATGGAGGAACCCAGAATCTTCTTCTAAAAATTGCCTGTAGCACATCGACAGCACCAGACGACGTGGCCGTGTTATAGTTATAACTGTTTTTTAGCCTGATGGTTTATAATCTTAATAATAAACGGGTGTCGACCCACCGAACCACGACAATGTGTGTTCAGCAATAATAGACAGATTCACATCCAGCAGCACGACGCAGATCAATATAAAACTACACATTAAATACTTATAAAACCAGCTAACCTGAACGCATCCGAGCTAGAGCGCAAAATTCCATATTGAAGAAAGTGAGGTATCTTCTCAAAGCTCAACTCATTTGTCGTAGTCCCACTTTAGTTTTCGGCACTTTATAAACTCTCAAAATATTGCTTCCAATGATGTAATGTCATAAGACCTTTTTTCTCAAATAGACTTATGCAAGAACGTGTGACTGAAACACTCGAACTCAAGACAATTTTCATGAACGAAAATTGAAATGCAATTGGTACAACATAACTATATGCATAAACGGAATAAATAATTTAAGATAAACTCCTCGGCAAAGCAGACAAAGCATTGCATTTTCTTTTGCTGAGCATAACGACGTATATACATAATGTGGAATAATGATTCCTAGGATAGCAGCTACAACAGAACGCGGCTTTTCAATAACATCAACCAAGACTAGCTTGTGCTCGTCGCATACTCATTGGTATACGGACACTCGACGCTTCTTTAGCATCCACGAGTGCAATGTAAGCATTTGAGTAAATCGTTTTGAGGAACTTGTCCATATCTCCAGCTCCTGTCAGTCTTTCTTTGTAGTCCACTGCCAGACGTTCGAAAGGAGTTTTCGGAGGCTGCAAACATCTAGATAATGAAGAAATCAAGATTGCTTTGTAAGATCATACCGAAGTGGTCTTTGGTCTCCCAACCATAGACCGTGAGATGGTGGAAGGAGCTAGTGTCGTGGATGGTGCTCTGTATTCAACTATTTTGATGGAACAAGTCATAATCCATTCATAAGCACATCGCTTATGAATGGATTATGATTTTTTTTTGCTACAATTGTCAAATTATTGGCCACAACTTCGCAGCAGTGCCAGAGAATTATTATTATTCATTATTTTAATTTCACTTTCATGCCAAAAGATGCTGCAATCGCTCTTTGCATGTTTTAGTTCTATGCGCAGTGATCTTCATAGAGTTTTGCAAGAATGGTATTCATATTAGTAGTTTTGAACTGCGCGGAAAATCTCTTATGACACAGTCTGTTCCGTAGCTAGAGATACTTGATACATTCTGGAACGGTTTAATGTTCTCAGTGATTGCTACTTTTAATTATGTTTGAGAAAGGAAATCTTTCTAGTGTCGAACCAAAGTAAACCCAGGGCCCGGCATGAGGTGGGCAGATGTCAAGCTGGAGATCGTTTGGATGGGGAGCAAAGGGGATATCGTAAATATAGTTCATACGTACATACACTCTCTCGAAAACTTGCTACACACTATATGCAAAAAATACGATCTCGCTCGCTCGTCATCTTCGAAAATCAAATTTTTTTTTCATTGAGTTGAGAGAGAGAGTAATCAAATGTCTCGCTTACCGCGCACACATAACGATATATAAGTATATGGAGTATAGATGGACATGGGCTAGGAGGGGCGTAGTGCAAAGTATTGTGGAAAAACTTGGAATTTGTGGCGAGCTTTCTTCTGAAAATTTTCCATTCACAGAATGATAAAATGGATCGTTTGCAACGCAAGATGACGATATGGCACGAAATTGGTGGGTGTATGCGCAGTTGGACTAAGGAAAAAAGTATGAAAAATTATGAAAAACTTGTATGAAGGAGAGTGTTTAAGTTTTTTTCGAATCAGGTGGGCAATTGCCAGAGATAGGCAAAACTTCCATCTCACATAGTTTTTCAAAAAACTTTGCTACATAAATCTGTTCTACACCTAAAGTTTAGTGTATAGTAACATTTTGTTTTCAAAACTCTTCCCCTCCTCCTTGTTAGGTTCCGGAACAGCAAGATGCCGGTTCTTTTGAGGAAGAAAGCCCGCTTCAATCGAACAATGTACGCAGCTAGCGGGATCAAGCAGGAAAGCGAGAATCATATATAGTGGCAAACGCGAGATCGTTTTACCGGTGTCCATTTGCCACCCTCCTGCTGGGCCCTGGGTACACCATGAGGAGGAATATTGATGGACAGATTGGATAATGATTAGATAGGCAATAATAGCGCTACAACAGGCCCTTCTGCAGGACGGACATCTTGAAAGGCACTAATACTAGAAGGAACCATTAGGGGAAGATTGTGGGGGTATCAATCCAAAAAATCATCCGAAATTCTGGCCATGAAGTGTACTTATGTCAACGCGTAGCAACAAGCAAATGAATTTAGAGATAACTGCAGCATACAAGACATTGCAGAAAAGTCGACCAAAGTATACACGTGAGGCAAAACACAAAAGTTTTATTTTATGATAGTGCATGAGAGTAGCGGACCCGCCGTAGGGTACCACATGAGAATGAAATCTCACCAACTTTGACCTCTCATACCCATACCCCGTCCCTACTCGTGCCAACGTCATCTTTTCAATGAACAAGTAAAAAAGCAAGATATAGCCCTCTATTAGCATCATTCGCAATTGTCACAGCCCAGTCAGTCCATTCCCCCCCCCCCCCACCGCCACTTTTTTTTTAACTTCTCGCTCTGTAAAAATCTTGTTGCACAGATTAGTATGCTAGAAAGTCGCCGAACCTTCCTGTGTTCCTCGCCCTGTATGCGACCAATTGTGTTCCTTCCGCTTCCAAATCCAGTGGAGCTCCAGTGGCGAGTGCGATATTATTTAACAAATCCGCATCAATCCCACCGTAGGAGGCAAGAAGTTTTGATTTTTCCACCTAGAAACTCTGCGATTGACAAATACTTACGTAATATTTTCAACTTCTGCCCAAATACAAAAATTATGATTTGGGAACACTGAACTTACGGTGCTGTTGAGATCCCTGATATGAAGCTTTTGATGGTTAACTGGTGGAGCAGTAGGTGAAGTAGAAACCTGGGTAGTCGTCGTAGGAGCGGCTGTTGTTGCTATTGTGGTCGAAATTATTTCTTGGCCTTTATCCGACTCATAGGCTTCCGTTTCGGGCAACATGGCGAAAACACCAAATTTTTTCGGTCTCGTCAGCTTGAGAAGTTGTAATACTAACCAGCTGCCTCTGAAGTGTCGTCATCTTCGACAGGCAGATGCATTTGTGATGTGAGGATTTCTGCTTCTACAAAGCTGGCTCCATCCTGAAAAACTGGTGTAGAGCATAAGCAATTTCGATGCTTTCGAATAGGGTAAGAGGATTTGTAAGACCCAGAGGGCGACCGTGCAAAGCCTGTTTTGACCGTTTCACAGAAACTCCACTTATTTCGAGTGCACTTTGACTAACATCAGCGCTCAGCCTTTGTGGGTGGTGTTTGATCTCTGGCTTTGGTTTCTTGCGTGGGATATATAGCAAAAGCTCCTTTTCAGTCTTGGCCATTTGGTCTGGTACCTTGATTCGTGCTTCAATCTGACTCTCGTCTGACTCAAATGCTGTAGAGGCTGAAAAATTATGAGATTTGCATTTGGAACTTATTGCACTGCTTGAAACAGAACTCACATTGAATAGTGGTAGTTTCAATGGTGGAAGCATCATTTGATGGTTTCTGTGAAGTACTCGTCATATGTTCTGAGAGACGCGCCTCCGCCAATTTTCGTACTAGTTCTTCACGGACTACCTAAATTTTATTCTACATACAATACCACCCGTAATTTGTGAAAAAAAATGGCGGCGGCACTTAACTTACGCGGCGCCGCCGAAGTTAGGTGACTTTTGCCGCGCGACGCGGCAAAAGTCACCTAACTTCGGCGGCGCCGCGTAAGTTAAGTGCCGCCGCCATTTTTTTTTCACAAATTACGGGTGGTATTGTACTAACATCCAGTTTTGGTGTGCAAGGATTTATTAGATTGAACACTAAGTTTTGCAACTTGTTTCATAACTTCACTCCCATTCAACATGGCGCACTCAAACTTTGGCATCATGTAGAATGCAATGTGAGCTACAAGCGAGCACAAATTGTCTGAATTTTGAACACGAAATAGAAAAGTTTCAGGCATTTTTCGAAAACTAGTAAAATCTGTGAATTTTTGGGGTTTCAAGCTAAAATGAAGCCTTTGGCAGCCTAGACTATGTGCAGTAATCCGGATTCGTCTACAAATTATTGCTGGAGGTTGACTCCTTTGGCCTAGTAAGAAAGAAACAAGATTTAGAAACATGTCGAGATTTGGAGTTCTCATAAACTCGAACGAGTCGATGTACGCAAGAGCTGCTGGGGACGACCGTCAATGAAAAAGAATCCGTAGCTCAAATTCCACCGAGACGTTACATATTAAGGTTATTTGGCCTGCTAAACACGAATATCATATCATTTGTTAAACCAACGCCTCTTTCATTGTTTAGGGTAAGACCCCATATCGTACACCTACAGTAATCCTAGAAAAAAGCCCTCATCACGCAATTTCACTATCGTTTTCGTGATCAGCATGTCGGATAACACCCCTATGCCAAGTTTCAGCCAAATCCGTCAAACTTTGAATTTTTCCCCTTTATACCATGCACCTACCGTAACCCTCACTGCGATGTCAGAATTTGGTAGGACAGCAGCTGCACTTGTAGCTTACATAATAACCAACACAGTGGCAAAATTTGAGTGCACCATGTTGAGTGAGAGGGAAGTTATGAAACAAGATGCAAAACTTAGTGTTCAACCTAATATATGGGAAGAGAGGACATCGGCAGAGAAAGCCTTTTTGTGCAAACCTTTTCAACATGGCTAACGAGATCATTTGTTTCTTCATCAGTCAAATTTAGAGTCTTCAAAAGCCGGTAGACATCAGGCCTAGGAGCCTTCGCTGAGGTTGCCTCAATAAGCTGGAAATTCCATACAATAGTCAGAGTTTTCCCAAAATAAAAGCGACTTCATACCTGCTCGGTTGTAGTGGTGAGCAAGTTCTCCTCTCCAATCTCTTCAATGAGCTCAGTCAGTGCAGGGCTGTCAGTGATCTCTGTCGGTTTCGGTAGAGGAGTCGCAGACAGATTAATCACCTGAAAAACCAATTACCTTCTCCTGCAACCTCTTCCTTGAAAACAACCTTTTTCATCCGTTCATCCGGCTCTGACACTCCGATAGGAATTGGCTCTGATTCCTGTAGCTCTGCTTTCTCGGGCTCTTCTCCAGCCGTGGTAGTTCCTACTGGGGGCGAAGCGGTCGTTGAAGTGCTGACCTGAACCAGGGCCTTTTTTCTCAGGTGATAGAAGAAAAGGAAAATTGACTTGAAGAAAATACCAATACCACGTGTGTAGGAATAAGCACACTTGGCACACCATCAAGTTTCACCGGATGGCTTAGAACATCGTAAAGGCCTAGTTGATTTAGCCCTGGAATGCAATGTAACAATTGTTTCTTCACATCATTTTTTACACGACATATTTTGCACTAAAATTTAGCTCCGGTATAAATTAGAAACTGCTATCACAAAGTTTTTGCCCAACATAACAAACATCAAAAATAAAAATTCAAACTGTTCCACAAAAGAAGAACTATCACGTTAAATTAATAAGGAAGGAAATAGTCTTCAAAATTCTTCAAATTTATGCCGGAACTTGAATAACTTTGAATAATGGACAAATAAACAAAAACAGGTTTAGAAATGATAGATTGTGGTGGAAAAATGTTGCTTTTCATGAATCCGCGATGAGACGATCCCCAAAAAATGTTTGAGAGGGCACCATTCAATAAAGCAAAGCAGCAAGATGACCATCAAAAATCGGATTCAGCCCTGTACGTAAAATATGAAGCCAAAATGAATTATTGAGCTTCTAATTCTCACAACCAGCTCAGTATTCTACGAACCTCTTATGGTCGTGATAAACCCATGAACCATCACCATATGCACTTGTTGTATTTGTATGAATTGAAAAAAAATCTGCGTTCCTTCTACGTATAGGCTTACATTATATACGGGTGAAAGTAGGATAAAGGAAGCTGTACTACCATTTATGTGCCCTAATCAAATATATTCGCCGAAGAAGGGAAAGGAGATAAATGCGGATATTTGGTTTGCACTTTTTTCTTGGGTTTTGACAGAGGAAAAAAATTATATCTTTGAGTACCTCATGGAAACTTTTCCGGGGAGGTGATCCTGTTTCTGGGGTGATAAAATAATTATTTTGCTTCAAACTTTATTTGGATCATAATGTATCGTATCTTTGGTGACCATCGTGTAGAGCCTGCTTCTTCTATTTGATGATGTCCAACAATTTTTGACTTCGCCTGCTTGTGGCTCCATGAGAACCGAAATTTTTCTCTTTGCAACGTAATATTCAGTCCACCGAACATGGTTAACGCAGTTTTCAAAATTTCCCTTGATTGCGTTGTTCAAATCAATAAAAGCTTGACTGTAAGCAAGTCCCCCCTTTATACAATTCTCAAAATTGGTGGTAATTCTAGAACCAAAAATCATACAGAATCTGCATCTATCTGACACTCGACTCTTGTTGCTTACCGCATTTTCAACATTTTTTGTTTTGTTATTAGTCGCTGAAAGTTTAGTCGCGAAACCTGCATGATATGCAAAGCTGGTACTAAACGAAGTATTGCTGGGTCCGTAGTGACTGTTCTACCATTAGAGCGCGGGAAAACAACAAAAAATGTTCGCTTCCATATGCAAGCGTCTGGGGAACAGCCACGACCAGAGTTGTCTGCGTGCCAGCGCCGTGCCATCAAACACTTGGGCATGGCCCGTATTAATCAATTGACGGCGCTGACACGACACTGTCACGGCAGAATGGTCAACTCTGGACGTAGTGACGGAAACATTGAACTTTGCGTTTAGCTTTGTGCATCAGAAATGAAATTACGGAAAACCGCATATACGCAAAAAACCTTCAGAAATTGATAAAAAAACACACCTGCTGTTGGAACTGTCGGGAACTTCGGTTGGAAGTTTGGAAATAGAGCAGCATGACTCGCTTGCAGAGGATGACCACCGCTCGGAAAATGAATAGCGCTGGGAATTCTGAACTAAATTCCCTTGAACAGAGCAAGCGTACACATTGGCAGAGCTGTATTCACGGAATCTGATGATGCTCCGACGACGGCATTGCTGTTAGAGAATTTGCCAACATCGCATTGTTGAGGAGAATCGCATTGTTAATCTGGTTCTGTCTTTGCAGAAATTGGTAGAACGGGATGTCAATCTGGAACGGGTTGAATTGTAACGACGGATATCACGGTTTGGACTAATCACCTGTCCATTTGGAGCTGAAGGCACGGCTGCGACTGCTGGATTGCTAGGCACATTTTGCGCGTGGGTCCACACCCATGGAATGATGAAGAGCTTCAAAATCAACTGCAAGATGCAAAATTGACAATTTAAGGTCACACAACGCGATACACCTGTTCCAATAAGAAGTTCATTACATCTACAAACCATGGTCTAATTGGCCCGATATGATGGTTGCGTTCAATAATGCTGCTGATGCTTTCGATGCTACTGTGACGGCTGGAACAAGATTCGGACAAGCGGCTAAAGTGGTGATGTTTACGCTGCTGGTGGATATCGGTGTGACGAACGCTCGTTGTCGAACGTTCAACCGTGGTGAGAGTGAAGCAGCTGAATGAGTTAGGTAAAGATGACTGCAGATCATGATTCTGGGTGGCATAGAAAGTTTCAATCATGTGGATCCAGAAAATCGAAAGTAGCAATTTGAAGAATGCCAGAAAAAGCGAAGGATGGATAAGACAGTAACAAATAAGGAGTGTAACGTCAGCTTCTGTATGATCATAGGAAAATAAGGAAAAAATGATTCGGCATCTTCGATTAACGTCTGCGAGCATGCGAAATGCACTCTACTTCATAGTTGAAGAGGCCGCTTGACCGTGCCGACTACAGTGGACTGCGGGGGCTCCGATTACGGAGTCGGTGCTTTTATCCTCCCAAATTTCTCTGGTACACTAATTTACCATCCCCGAGGACAGAGGGCTTACTTGGTCCAGGGGTAGGATCGAACCTTGTCCAACCTGGTCATAGCGGCGCCCCATAGAACTACGCCATTCGTTACCGGCACTGCATACTTATCTTAAAACTTAAAATAATATACTAAAGAAGGGCCAAAACTGCTGAAGAGATAGTCGAGTAAGGCAGACTGCCGAAGAAAGACAGTAATCTACTCCATCAAAACCATTTCGTTTAGATGCAAACTTGGAGAAAAAACTTCACGCATTTGTTACCATTGATTTCTTACTCATGAGGTCAAGCCTTTTTTTTTTTCGAAGTACCTTTATATACTCAAAGCATCCTTACTTTCCTTCTCATAAGCGAACTTCACACCAATACTGCTGAGATTCGATGCCAACGTTCTCGGGCATTAAGTAAAGCTCCACTCGTAGCGTGTATTTTCTTTGTGATCTTACGAGAAATGCATGTTTGGTCGAAGTGGTGTTTTTAGATGAGATATATAACCATACTGTAAGGCATAAAATGCTGATTCCATGTCTGACTTCCTTATCTGCATAACGTTTATGGACGAGGAGTCATGAACGCTTATTGAAGCAAAAAAATTAAATGTGCAAGTAGGACGAAAATAGCCGTAATACTTTTTCTAGCCCTTCAGTGGAGCAATGATAAGCACCAGAGTTCTTTATCAGAAAAAACTTTAAAATAAAAATACCATGCTTGTTGCATTATTAAAGGGCTAGTAAGATTAATTTAGAAACCCATTTTATCCAAAATGCGCATTCAATATTTGGCTTCAAGAAACGGTCATAACTCCTCGTCCATAAACGTTCTGCAGTAAGGGAAGGCGGATTTATGCACTATTATATGGTATGCATCTCACTTGGAAAGGCCACTTCAACTGAACAAGCTTCCCTGGTTAGGGCAAACCCATGAGCGGATTGACTGCATAAACAATGAAATTATGAAGACCTACGCCAACTGCAGAAAAGAAAACTGCTTTTTGCATTCGAAAAGGAAAGCACGGTTGAAAGCATTGATTGGAAAGGAGCTTCACAGTAACAACAGACTACGGGAACAGGCGTAGATCACTTCTACAGTTCTGGAAGATTTCGAACAAGCCTAAAGTATCGTAACTGCATCGTAACTTGTTGTAAAGCAATAAACAACAATTCGATCTCAATTATCTTACTATCTCCATGCCTCCGTAAAAAAACATTGCAGCATTTCTTGCCAGGATTTGTTCCCTTAAGGTCGCCGTACTGCAAGAGGCTAATTTGAGTTAGCTAAAGCTAGCGCACGAAATTTGCGTAAAATCATTACAAAAACCCGCTTAAAATCCAGAACCGGACAATTCGCTGAAGTGAAACGTAATTCATGTGAATTATAATTCTAAGTGACAGAAATGATGATTTAAGAAGAATGCAAGCGTTATCCAAGTAGAAATCTCACCATACTTGTGCTTGAGAATCTTATACAAAATGTTAGGTCGTCTAAAAAATAATAATGTTCTTCGAGGGGAAATGACGCAAAGATTCTACCAACACACATCACTATGCATTGATTTCTACTGTCAGTAAAGCACAATTATGGCTAAATCATCAATTCCCAGTTTCTTGACTTTATAAGCTTCTTTCAAATAATGGATGTAGAGATGAGCATTTTGATTTCTGGAACACATTTTTCTTTGTTTAGCAAATGATAAGACAATTACTTGACTTTTGATCTCTGTTCTAAAAATAAAATATTCTCACATCTGCGCACAATGAGAAAATTAGGGTATACCTCGCTTCTTTTCGCCTTTCCTTTATAGAAGGTTGAATTCTTGTAAGAATAAGATAAGATATTCCAGTCTTAATTGAAGTGCTCATTTTGAATCGACAATTCTAATTGAAGTGCTTATTTTGAGGCAAAATCAAAAGTTAGACGAAAAATTTTTGCAGCATTTGTAAGAGCGGCGAAGATCGGAGTTATTTATTAACCATCTCAATAGTTTTTTTTGAAAGAGCAAAACTTTCACAAAACCTAATGAACAACAGATAAGAGGATTTGAATAAAAAAGCATGGAAGAAATGCGATGATATCACAAACGTTGAAAATATTCAAGTTCCGAACATAGCACGAATCAATTGGGGCTGGAAGAGAGATCTAGGCCTCAAGATTGCGTATCCGAAGCGTCCTCTTACGCCGAATGGCTGCGCAGCCACGTAAGAGCATAACGACGTAAGCGTTTTTCGTGAAAGCTGACGATCGTAAACGATTTTGATTCTATCTATAGTTATGACAGCCATAAACATCCGCCTAGAAACGATGATGAATGGAAAGCAAGTTACCGAGAAAGGAGGACGAGCGGAAAGCGGACACGATATGAGGCACAAGGAGGCCGTGGTGGAACGAGGAGGGGGATGAATGATTTGAGATGCTAGCTTAGAGATGGATAGTTGGAGGTGAAATTAACAGCGACTCACTCTCTCAGATGAAGGTTGCCCCTAGTTGATGAAGAAATAAAAGATATTATAATATAATTGCTTTACGCAAGGATTTGAGAAAAAAGGAACGTAATTTATGTAAATTGTAATTATCAGCGACAGAAGCTGTGGCTGCGAAGGATGCAAGGCGTGCACGAGGAGAAATCTTATCCTATTATTATTTTTCAAAATTTCGTTTGCAGAAATAGTGATTTCAAGAAAGAACTATTCTATTAGGAGAGTGGGACGGATTTTCTATGGATATAGTAACATTAGGTTGAGAAGGGAAGGCGGCTATAGCTTATTTTCAGAATAAAGGTCAAATTCTTTGGGATGCTTCAAGAATTTTTTGAGGGCCTATACGGAACAAGAAGAAATTTTTTTGCAATGCTAACTTAAACTTCTAAAAGTTGATGAAAATTATTTCAAATGTTTGCAAGTCTAAACAAGTCTACGCATTTTTGTAATCAAATGGACAAATTTCGCGGTCCATTCTCAGGGGCGCCCCCCCCCCCCTCGGTTCACCATTGTATAGATACGGAAGGAAGTAGTATTATGTTACGGGAATATCTGAAAATCAAACAATGAAATAAAAAAGTTATTTCTATTCTGGCTTCCTTTCGTTTCTTCCCTTCCCAGTACGTAAAGCGAGTCCGGAAAATGAGTTGTGTTATTTCTTACATTTATTTATATTTAAAGTTCCAAAAAAGAATACAGTTATAAATCTTACAAAAAAGACATGAGCATGTCCCTTTGTTTGCAGAACATATTAGAGCAGAAATCTTTTAACGCTATGCTACGACTTTTGAAGGATATTCCTTGAGGGGAAAATCAGAAGCCGTCCCAAAAAAGAAATTGGCTAGCCAGCTGACCAGCTATTCTTTTGCAAAGTTGGTGAAAATCGCGCGCAGCAACCGGTTTGTAGTCGTTGCCGCCGGCCATTATCGACAGGTTCCTCGTACCAAGCTTCAGCCCCCCTAAATTGCTTTGTCCTCCTAATAAGAAGATGATGCACTACGATCTTTAGGGTGCACATGCGCCCATCCCCCCCCCTCCTCTCCTGTTCATGTAGTCGTTATCCTTTCGAAACACGTGAATGCTTCAACGATCTCATCTTCTCTTCGGAATATCTAATCTCCTTATAAGAACGATCGTAAGCTTGGCAGCATTTAGGGAACCTGTCCATCATCCGAGTGATGACATATCCGGAATTAACGACGAACACTGATACGTTACGAGGTTTTACGAGCGCGCGAGTATGTCCTTGTATGGGAATTGTCCGATGCAGACAACATCATATGAGAAAGCGATCTGAGAGGTGATGACATTGTAATTTTTTACCGAAAAACCATCATTTTCGCGAAGATAACTGCATCCGTTTTTCCAGAATTATGTTATAAGACGAAGGTGTGCGCCTCGCAGGTAGAGCTTGTCCTAAACTGGACCTAGAAGTTTTGAGAAGGCTGAGGCACGAAGCTGATCATTTTTCGCAAGATAATCGAAAATTGAAAAATAACCAGGTATCAACTCTTTTGAAGACTCTGATTTCAGGCAATCAAAACCGATCAGAAACTTAAGGAAAATAGGCAGTTTTGCGTTTTTCGTACATGGCGTGTATGCTCACTATCAAATCAGATATCAGGTTAGCTCGAATGATTTCAGTTGCTCTCCTACAAATACTGGAATGTACTGTTTGAACAGAATCTACTTCCCTAAAAGCAAGAAAGTGAGAAACCATATTTTTCCAT